GTGGCTGCTAGAAGTAAGGGGGACAGCGACCTGCCATACACGAGCGATCCGACAAAGAACGGAAGCTCCGCAGCAGAGTCGGTAGCTGTACGGGGCCGGATACTGGACATCGGACTCCGGCCAACGAGACGCTTGGGGTCCCAAGCGCCCCGTCTCGGAGAACACGATCTCTGGTCACGAACCATGAATGAGACGGTCGCAGCTCGTATTAAAACGAGTGTGCTGTCCCCTCTCCTTCATAATACAATCCGCTACGATGCCTGCCACCGTAAGTCGCATCTTGCGCTGCTCCGCTGCCTTATGCCTGATATACCCCTTGCACCCTATGTCAGAGCACACCCCAGCACCCTCATGATTCAGATGTACGTATTCGTGTTTGCAGCTTGCTTCTGAATGCAGTCTGACACGCTAATGCCCGCAGACCACCCATATCAACCGCGAGCCTCCCGTGAAGGTGCCTATTCCCGAAGGCTGGACGGACGTCATCAGTCTCGACGATAAAGTCAAGGAACTGCTCAAAATGAGAACTGGACTCAGCGTCAATGCAATCGTGCTCGAGGAAGTCGGTGGCGCACGCTACATCTTCCAATCCGGGAGCCAAGTGTACATCTGGAACGATATCTCTGAGCTCGGTTACCGCGTGACGGCGCCGCAGGGCAGGGATGCGGTGGTTGGAGCGATTGTGGATGATTGGAAGGGGGTTACGTTGGAAGATCTCCCGTATGTTGGGTGGGACACAGGAAAGGATAAAGAGGCAGTATAGGCGACAGACGCGATTAGTATTTGAGCGCTATTCAAAGGCTTGAGAGATTATCATACACCGTACTCAGATACAAGACTTTTGCTACGCTGTCTGATGCTTGCCTATGCATTTGGTGAGTCACGTAGCGTCGTCCACATGGATAGGTTTTCCATGTTCTGAGCCTGTCTGAATTGTCTCCTTTATTTGCCCCAATCAGACACTACGTACCTGGTCTCGAAACCTCCGTCGACATCGAGAATGTACCATGCTCTGTGCGACAGCTCAACCCACCATATGCAAGCTTTCCGACCCAACGTTGGCCAATCCTTGGCATATAGTTTAAATTCTCGGACACATCGTATCAACAGCGAGAGGTCGGTGGAGATTTGACGGCCAACGGACCGCATTTGCACTCCTACTTGTCTACCAAAAGCGAAACGAAGCGGATGGTGACGTAGCAGAAATGACAAGGTCTTCCCGGCTTCTGAAATCAACACGTAGCTGCAGCTTCAGCTATGACCCGAAAACAACGGCAAAGACATAGCATGGAACCGCGGAGGACGATGAACGGACAGGTCTCACTCGACGTCTCGAGGCAGGCTCTGGTGGCGCGAGGCGCTTCAGTGAAGGTTGGGCTTTCTCAGTGGAACAGCATGTCGCTTGATTGGCTCATACGATGGCCGACGGCTACACTTGCTATCGAGCGCCACCACGCGCCACGGACCATCCATTCAGCGGAGAGCGCTCATGAACAGCCTCACCTCTTGACACTCGATGAAAAAACTCAAGCACAGACCGAGGGAGCTCTTGGGAACGCACATGAACGCCAACCAGGAGATCTGGAGGCAAATGTAACAAAGTACACTACTAGACTAATTACAACGAGCCGTACCCGCCCATACAGCCGGTACACAGCATTTCTACATCCTACAGTCCACAACATACCGCGCCGCAGCGCGGTGAATGAAGCGTACGGAGAGGGAAGGGGAGTGGGGTGGGGGGAGAGGAGAGAGAGAAGGGGAAGGGGAGGGGAGCAAGAACAGAACCTTACGCGGCCAGGAGACAGCGGTCCGCGGAAAGGTTAAGGTCTGTCGACGGGGCGTATGAGACAACAGTAACAGCAATACCGGCAGTGAGCGGTGACAGATTGGCAGAGTGTACTCACCGTTGCCCCACCATTGCGGGAAGGCATGCGCATTGCCCGCAGCACCAAAGATGGCCTGGAAGGTGGGAGTCAGCAATTCAGACTCCAAGAACACACGCGGAACTTACAAAGTTGAGGATGAACATGACGACCTGGGTTCCACCGTCCATGGCAGCCGCAACGATGTAGCTGAAGGAAAGGGAAAACGCTCAATCACGGCCCAAAGCATGTGAGTAGGTACAACGTACTTGTACTTCGTGAACCAGCGGGGGTAGCGCTGACGCACCCAGTACTGCGTGAAGATACCGACGGCCATGGCGGTGCTGTGGGCACGACGGTCAGTCAGCACTTCACAGACTACTGACAGTCTGCAGGACTTACTTGACAGAAGAGTTAACACCAACAGAGAGGTAGCAAGAGTACTGTGCGGAGACAACAGTCAGTCACGGCAAGCGGACGCACGGTCCGGGGATGCAGCGCACCTGCACGATGATACTTGTGTTGAAGTTGTTGAAGCCAGCCTTGGGCCAGAGACGGTGCTGCGCGCGCGCGTCAGCCAACGAACAGAAAATCTCATGCAAACGCAATACGCACAGCAAGGTAGAACGGCAGCGGGAGGAAGACGCCGATCGCGAGCGAGATGGGCACCATGCGGTACGTCGAGTGGGGGCCAAACATCTGCGGGGCGAGCGCACCCCACGAAATCGCGTTTGCTGTCCACACGCGAGTCAGCGCGCACACTACAGTATAATCACGGGAGACATACAGTTGTACGCCTGCGCATTCTGGCCGGACCACAGCCGCGTGCCCGCGATGGAGAGCAGAGCTGAGCACCCATAAGTCAACACAAGGCAATCGGTAGGCAAGGAAACACGCACCAGGGCGCTGCGCGTTGATGATCGACAACATGATCACATCTATAAGTGCGTTTTTGATCCACATTGTCAGCATCGCCTCATCGCACGATCCAGCCGCGGGCACGATGCGCGATTTACGCGCGCCGCAGCCCGCGCTACCAACAAACGAGGAAGACTCACAGTTGAGGATAGCACCGACGACCGTGCCGATCATCTGCATGCAGAACGTGACGCGCGGCGGGAGCTTGCAGTACTGGCCGAGCTTGAGGTCCTGCAGGAACGCGATGCCCTGCTGGAGCGGGTGCGCGCCGTACATCGCACCGTACATGTTTGCGACGGGGCGCCCGGGGACCATGTACGCTGCCCAGCGCCAGTCAGCTAAACGAATCGCACGAGGGGAAGGTGAGAGCGCGCACCGGTGATCATCTGGAAGAAACCGTTGCCAGAAGAAATGAACTCGGAGAACCCAATCGTCGCAGCGAGTGTGGAGTAGAGCGCGCAGAGGATGAAGCCGATGAAGAGCAGCACGGTGAGCGCCCACCATGGCAGGCCCGACTTGCCGGTGTAGTTCGCTGTGCGACAGACACGTAAGCGGTGCAGACTAAGAGCACGCAGGAAAGAAAAATAACATACTGGCTTGCGCGATTGCGTATGCGACAAGGAGCACCGCACCGTACCACCAGCGCGGAATCTGCTTGTAGACTTTCATCTTCTCCCAGTGCTATTCCCGGCCACCGTCAATGAGCAAACTTTATCCGATAAGCAGAAGAAGAAAAACTCACCGCATCGTGAACGAAATGTGCGTGCTTGTTCCATGGGTTGAGCGAGAGTACGAACGGCTTGAGGTCATTCCAGTGGTAGAGCGCGACGTGTGTGACAATCGCACCGAGCGACAGGTTGGACGTGATGAGGTAGAGCGCGTTCGTCGAAGAGAAGTACGCGGGCTGTGACACGAAGTCAGTCAGTTATTTGTCCCACGTTGCCAGTGCGTACAAGGAGAAACGCACCCCAAGCTGGGCATACATCGTGGCGTTGAACTTGCCATCGGTGAGCAGCGCGCTCTGGTCGTACTGCGAGCCGTTCTCCGCCTGCGGGCCCCATCAGCGCCTTGAACGACAAGAGTAAACAAGCACACGCACGAAGATCGCCTGGCTCATGAAAGGGAACTGCTGCGCCTTCCACACATTGCCGTAGTACACACCGCACATGAGAATGTACGTGAGCGCGATACCGATGTCCTGGTTGATCTGGAGCCAAAGCGGGGACCACATGCACTGGCTGGTGACGTAATTCCAGTCGAAGCACACCGAGAGCAGCCCAAGACCTTCGTTGTTCGATGCACCGCCGAAAACATTACGGAAGATGGCGTTAGTGTTATCGGCAAGGCAGAAGATCGAGAAGCCCGTCAGAACGGGGAAGATCCCTGCGCCGCGAGTCAGGACTCAATTATACAGAAACGAGGGTGATGACTTACATTCAGGGAAGATCTCCCAGCAGAACATGATACCGAAGATAAGCCAGAAGAGACGCACACGCTTGGATGTCATCTGCCTATCGTAATGCAACGCCTGGAACAAATTGGCGATGTAGACTGGTGTGAAATGTATCAGTCTATGCAAACAAGGGCTGCGAGAGACAACATACTATTAGCGGGCCAGAAACACTTGGTAGGCTTGACGAGAACGTCCTGCAGGATACCAGCGTAGCCATAACCGATGAGCTGAGACCCGATGAGCGTGAAGATCGCAATGCCCGCATTCTGTTGTGCGCAGTAGCTGTCAGCCTAGTGATATCAAATAGCGAGAGAAGTGGGTGTATGCGCACCATCGTGTTGTTGTAGTACACTGTTCAAAATCAAATCCAAAATCAAGTTTCGTTCGATGAAAACCGGAATGAATATCATCAAGCACTTACACTCCTGAACCGAAATGACCTGGATGGCAACCGCAGACGTTGCAGCCGTGGATGACATAATGATGATGGCGACATGCTCCTTGACTGCATATACCGACCATATCAGCATATCAATCCATCTACACAGGGAAGGGGAAAACACGCACTGTTAAATGGACCGGGGTTGAGGTAACGGAACCAGCCGCGCTGGGGAATGGCAACATGCATAGCGTTACCGAACCAGTACGACAGGACAAGCAAGAGCAGCGTGGAAACATTCAGCGTCTGCGGCTTGAAGTAGTAAATCTGGGCGAGGACACTATCAAACACATCAGGCTGCGGCTCTGTGATGTGGGAAACAAATGGGACTCACGCGCCAAAGGAGGAGAAACCAAGACCAAGGAAGAGGGTACGGAAGGTGACTGCCTGGAGCTCGGGGTCATCGCGAGTGGACAAGACCTAGAGAGAGACGAGGTCAGGACAAGGTCTGGGTTGAAGGAGTGGAATACAGACCTTGATGGCGACCTCATACGCCTCCTCGACACGGTACTCTGCCTCGGTAGCCTCATCGTTGGCAATCCTTTCCTCGAGTTCCGCGACGTCTTTGGCGAGCTGACCATCGACGATGTCAGCGTCGAGGTTACTGTCCTTCTCGTTGTCGAAGGAAGAGTCGTCGACGGACTTCTCGTTCTCATATGCAGGCAGCGAGGGCATGGTGGAAGCCATGCTGGATGCAGCAAGAGACGGGGAGGAAGGGCGGAGGGGGGAGACCTGGCCTTGGGAGAAGCCGGGCGGGCGGCGGAGAGTATAAGTAGTGGGGGCGGCCGGAGGTAGGGCGAGTGCCAGGACGCCGGGAAGAAAGCCGCCAAGAGGGAAGCATGCGTACAGAACAAGATAACGCGGATAAAGTTAGGTTCGTGATGCGGCGCTGCACCGACCGTCAGGCACACGCGGGGAGGAACAGCGATAGGGAAAGCGTCGACGTCGTGTAAGGACTTAATACGTACAGGAACGACCGATGCTGGTGTTTGATGGGAGCGTTACCGGCGGGCAGATAAGAGCAGAGACAACGATGAGTGCCTGGACACTGTCTGATAAGTGGCCGCCGGCGGGAGAGATACGAGAAACTCGCAGAGAATCCGTGGATATTGGAGGCGACAGGCAGCGGGGAGAATGCGCGAGGAAGGGGCAGAGCGGCGAAGGACGATGGAGGAGACGAGGAGGAGAGGCGGCGGGAGGAGTGACCGCATCTGGAAGGAGCCCGATCGATCATCCCATCGAGTTGCCAAATGCGGATGCAGGAGCACGTGTCGCGTCGGGTTGTCTCAGGCACCTGCGTGCAACTGCTCGCCTCTCTGCCGTGAAACAGACGGGGCCGCGAGGGCTGTCTGATCCAGGCAGACTCTCTCGAGTTTCGTTCATCCCACCGGTCCCCGCCAGCACTCGCTTCTCATCCGGGCAGCTGTCGTGAAAATTGAATATTGATACGTCGAAGTGATACTATCACTGGGCGGTTACCCCGGATGATGAATCTTCTCCATTCAGACCCTGCTGCTCTCGACGCGCTAGCCTCGCATCGAATGCGTGGTCAGGTACAACGGCCAACACAGCGTATACCGTCCATGAGGTTCGTGCAATGATGACCCGCTATCACGCGATCTATTCCTGGTTTCTCGCGTTGTCCCTCCCTTGGCACCGCCACCGCGCCAGTAGTGTGTAGCTGCCGTCCTCGAAGCAGGGACGGATGCGAGGCACAGGAATGTTCCCTGAGCCACTACAATCTCGTTCCTGTCCTCGCATGAGGCACGAGACACGCTTTATCTCAGTTCTCCGCGCTCAGCGATTACAATCACGCATAAATAATCTGACAGCATCATCACTCTATGAGTCTATCATTATCGGTCCGCTGTAACTGTACTGAATATCCATCTTATGCTTTCCCGTCTACCAACCAGTGACGCATCTACATATCCAAACCCACCAGCGCCCGCAGCCGTTTCGTGTGACCAATTATGCACCCAGTGCACATGGTACAGTACGCCGTCACCGCAGATTGTGCCAGCACCATCACGCGGGATACCTCGAGGCGGGTCCCAACTCGTCTTGACCTCAAACAGATCACGCAGATAAGTGGGATATGACACTGTCAGTGTCACAGGCCCTATCCAGCTCGAGCTCGGCCTCGTCTGACCGTTTTCACTCGCGGCTCCAGCCTGGGCATGAGTTCCTGAATCTTTATCGGCATATTTTTGGCTTCATACGTCCGACAAGCAAGAACATAGAGTCCTTGCTAGCGCCATGTCCATGCTCCTGTCCGACATTTGTTTGGCATTCGGAGGCTAAACTGCCGAGGCAAGTAGACGCCGTTCCACATGCAGACTATCACACTGACGCACTGTATTGGAACACAGAGATCCGCGGTACCTGCGTATGGATAGTTTAGGATACAGCAGCTGACGTCTGCGCTCCCACCAAGAACCGCATCTCGACCATGGACAGAGACACTATTTACGGCCGCAGTCTTCTTGATTCCGCCGGACACAAATGAACCGTCTAATGTTCCGAGTCCGCGAAGTTAATCGCGGCCGCTTCTTATTGCGGCCGCCCCTCGCCCAGGAATGCCGCAAAGGCGTCGTAACGATGCTCGTACCGCTAAGTCCAGTAAAAGCTGTTTACATAGGGCCAGGCCCTCGCGGACAATAAACGGGATCATAAAAAAAAAGTCCAGTAAAATGGCCCTCAAGACACTGGACAGCTCTCCCGGAATTTTTACGCACCTCACGTTCGCAATTGGGTCATGCGTGCCCTGTTTGAGGTGTCTCAGGCTCGCCGCTTAGGGGCTGACATGGACAGGCGACAGCAGGCAGGTTGGCAGAGACCACCGACGCCAGGTTGACGTGGAGACCAAGTTATGGTTTAATCACGGTGGCCCATGGGCGGTAATGAAGTGAGAAACTCCAAAGCTGCTGCTGACTCGGACGTGGTAGAAGAGATGGGCACAAACAGCAAATAAGACGTCGATGCGCACCGGGAGGACCCGCAGAAAATAATGAGATATGTGCGTGTCAGCACCAGTACGCATTCTTTGTCCTCACCTATCTTCGATTCCGTAGCTTCGCCGTCTCCATTTCCTCTCCCGCAGCCTACCATACCTTCCACCGCAGAAATTTGGAATTCGACTCCCTATGCATGTGGATTCCACAGCGGCATTTGAGGCCTAACGCTCCGCAGTATCACACACAACTTCAAATTCAAGAATGCCCCCACTTCCGTTTCGCCCCGCCCCGCAAGACTCCCCACTCATCACTTTTCTTTTAATAGTAGCGGCGCTACCACTGTCAGGCTGCCGCGGTGCCCCCGAGATCGGATACAGCTCATATCAAGGGATGCGCGTGCGCTTGTCGCCTCTTTGTCGACCATCCCTTCCAATTGTCCTTGCGCATTTTACACCATCAGCGATAAGTCTCGTCACGATGGCCGCGCATGTTGTCTCCCGGTGGGTTCCAAAATTTTATTTATTTTTCAAACAACTCTCATTGAGGGGGAGGGGGGGAGGGAGAATCGATGCTACACCGCCTCGACGTCCATGAGGAAGAGCCCGGGCCAGCAAGAGCACGTCGCTACCGTTTTGGTATTCGGTTCACCTTATAACACCTCACCGTTTCGCCGGCGCACCACCATCATTTCTCTGCGTCGTATCTCGTACGCCGCCGCCGTTTTTTTTTTGATACGACGACAAATTCAAGTTGAAAAAAGAAATGACCACGCGTGCACACAATCGTGGCTATACCCCGTGTGCGCCGCATTCTCGCATCATGCCGCCATCTTCCAATTTCCCGCCAGCGGTTTGGCGCTGCAGAGCCCGGAGCTAGAAGCGGTCTTCAAGCATATGGCATCTGGGGTGTCTGTTTTTGACAGATGCTAAAACGTTTGTTCGTGACAGACAGGCGCGCGACAGCGAGTTCCGTGCACTGCGGACCGTTATGGTGTTGGACATACGCCGCGTATCCGTTTTCGCCATGCAGGAGTGCGGGCTCCCATTCTATACGCTCAAACGATAAAGGTGCTCCCTCCGAGGCCCTTCGTAGGGTCAAAAGCATATCGATTGTCGGCGCCGTAGGCTCGAAATCGGTACCGCTGGCTCCCCGCCCGTCATCACGGACTGCGGACTGGGTTTTGACGGACGCGTCCGTGATATCGACGTCCGCGGGCCCAGCCCAACCGTATTAGTGCCGCGCCGCGTCTGAGGTACATCATCTCCATGACGTTAAGAGCTGACAAGACCATTTGGCATCCGCACGTGAGGCCCAGTGAGCAGAGCGTATTGGGCCACGACGTCTGAGGCTTACAAACTAGGTGGGACCGTGAAAATCAGGCTGTCATATTTTGATACACCTATATGGGGCAAGAACTCAAATCTCAGTCGTTTTCGTCGTATTGCACGAGGCACGTAGCCTGGCAAAGGCTCTCTCCTTCCGGGCAGGCTGCTCGTCCGCCACCGAGGACAGCCAGACGTCTGCATCGTGGATGGTCTCTGCTCGCATGCATATCCAGTGTTGAGTCAAACGGAATTCATGACTAGCAGACCACATACCCCCAGGTAGACAAACAAGCTCTCGTATCTTGCGCACCTCCTTCTGCATGTCATACTCCCAAACCTTGTACAGCTCGCAGCTACACACCAAGTCGGCCAAGAACGTGAGCATGTTGATCTCGAGTACTCCAGAATCGTCTTCGACGTGACGTGCACATTCGGCTATGAACGGCGTAAAGAAAAATACCTCGCTCATCGTCAATATCTCGCTATCCAGGATTTGCGGCTTCAAGACGGCGTCCTTCAGGATGGTGCACACAGTCGCCACAAGTGCCCTCAGCTCATCACGGATAGTGTGGAGCTCAAGCCATTTGCGCACCCTCGCGAGGTTAAGACACCAATGAGCAAACTTGAGGAGCTCTGCTGTGTCAAGGCCTGTTTGTGGGGGAGATAGAAACTCCGACAGGAGAAATTCCAGGTCTCACGATAATATAGTGAAATTCCATGAGCAAATGTCATAGACGCTCTTACCTGTCCTGTCAAGCTCGTTCTCGAAATGAGAGCTGACTTCAACCGTACAGTCCAAAACAACCGAGAGCGTTCCACTTGTGTCCGTCATCATGTGCTTCCACAGCCTTCGAAGTCGGACTCGAACGACGGGCCAGTCGTTGATCGAACACATGAGCCTCCGTATGTAGGTATGGGCGTGCCATCGATGGTCCTTACCACTAGAGTCGATGTCGACTATCATGGGGAGCATGTCAATGAAAGCATCCAGCATTGCGATTATATAGCACTTTTCTTGTTCGCTGGCCTGTGTCGCATAGTATTTACCCCACGCCCGATATATAGGGACTCTCAATTGCCCGCGCGTCGTGATAGCAGACAAGGAATCGAGGACGGTTTCATAGCAGGTGGTATCGAGACATAGGAGGGAAAGTGGGACAATGAATGAGTTGTCTGAGATCATTGTGTATGCCTCCGCTAGCACTTGGCCGAGAAATGGCGTCGAAGAGCTTGCATTCTGTCTCATCCCTTCACACGCCCTCCAATCCGTTAAGTGCCACAGCTTGTCTAGGGAAGTCTTTCGTTCCAGAAGGGTCCAAAACAGTCGCTCTACACCGGTACAATCTATTATGGCACCAGCAAAGTCTCAGAATACTTCAAAAGCAGGAATTGTTTGAATCATCTTCGTACACATTTCGCAGATAGTCTTTCGCTGCCCGAAGGAAACTTGAAAATGCTTTAGAGATCTCCACAGTTGCTTAAGGCGGGTTTTCCATTGCCCGAGGACGGTTCCCCGCTGCCTAAGTGATGTCTTCCACTGCCCCAAGGAGCTCTTCCACCATTCGGCACTGAGGACACCTAAAAATAGCAGTAAGAGAGTTTAAAGAGTGGCATCATCCAAATCTGACCGCTTACGATCGCGAAGGCGCCAGACCAGCGTGAAGGCGGCCGAATATATCAACCTTTGGATGCCATATAGCAGCTTTAGCCACTACCATGCCTGCGGAGACTTGTAGGCACAGTCAGGCACAAGAGCGGGAATGAATGCAGTGCCAATGGTACCCAACAACAGCAGCGAAACGAGACCACAGACAACGGTAGATATGCAAGCATTCAGTGACCATAACTGAATGACCAGCCCAACGAGAAATAGAGCTAGCGAGACTTGTAGAAGAACCGGAAGGACGCTGATGATTAGAGGAACCTTCCATCGGTCAAGGCTCCGATGTCGCAGGTACCAGATCTCTGCGCTCTCTCGAGACATGCTCAACGGCCGCGTCCGGTGATGGTTTAACCACTGGTTGACAGATATGGCGAGGGATGCTGCGCCAAGACTGAAGACAAGCGCAGCGAACCAGAGCCCGTTGACAGCGATGGCCTGAGACGAGGCCTGCGTCGCCGAGGACGAATTGACCAGAGCGGACATCGACGGAAAGAGCAAATTATGATGATCAGCAGTGGCGATGAAGACTTCCGGCAGTGCAGAGATGACGACGAGAATTTGGGGAGTGCCGAAGGTCGATGGTTGAAGAGTGGAATAGTACTCAATTACGAACGAGGTGAGGACAGCTGAGAACAGACCGGCCTATAGATAACACGGGAATATGTGTTTAAGGCACGTCAGTTCCAGACGCACACAGATAAGCCTATATCAGTAGTGCACCCACAAAAATTAGGAGCGTATTCAATTCATCCTTCCACCTGTCGATGATCTCTCTCTGCTGCTCCCAGACTTGCTTGGCGCAGTCTGACCACACTCTTTGCATATCTTCCTTGATGAATGTTTCTGGGACTTTATCTCGTGACGTTGAGGGTTGGCCTGGAGCCCCACGCTTTGAGGTGGAAGAAAGATGCAGCAATGACAACCCCCCTCAATGAGTTTCGTCCGTCTCAGTAAGTTCATAAAGGGATCACCTCTGCATTAGACCCACCCTCTACGTGGTTGGCGACCTCAGAGACTTCATGCTTCGACAGATAGTTGGTGTCTGTTTCTCAGATATAGAGCATTCCAAAAATTACCGGTTTAGCATTGATGGACGCTCTCCCGCCCAGCGACATGACTTCGTCTTCTGTCCTGGATCTAGACAGGTCTTTTTCAAGTACCTATTAGAAGACTAATCAGTTCACTCGCAAATTTGAGACCTAAGCTGCTCACTGCGGGTGTAGTGCCATTTACCGTCAAATATTCTTCATCTTGGAGCGTTACCCACATGCTATTTCTAGGAAGAGCAGCGGGATATACTATATCATTGGAAAAATTAGTTGCTGACTCAACTGAATCATCTGCCGAGAGAATATGTGCCTCCAGGTCGATGTCAGGTACATTGACTCGAGATGGAGATTGGGAATCAAAAGCAGCAGAGGGATTTGGAGGGATGGAAATCATTATGACGAGATAGCAATAGCAGCGGCAGAGTGGAGCGGGCAGGAAAGAGTCTATATATGCAGACTCGTAAGATCCATGCTCCCACGGACAAAAGGACGTCGTCAAGCTGTCCTCGCAGCGTTGTATAAAAATTCAGAGAACAATGCAAAACTTCCCTTGTTAGCCGGATGCTGTTGAGTACTCTTGTTCCGATGTTGTTGGAATAAAACGGGGCAAAGCAAAACACCAGAATGATCTGTGGGATGATAATGTACGACAGCTCGCAGGAAATCTCTCTCTCTTCGCTCCTTGAGCCGAAAAGTAGATAAACATCTAGCCGTTCCCGAGCCCATCCAATTACTCTCTTTAGATGCATCAGTCCCAGCCGCCGTACTGAAGCGCGCGCCTCGATAAAGCACGCACAGCATCCTCTTCACACTTATAGCATAGCATGTAGCTTATATCATACCACAAGTTGCTGAGGAGAGCGCATACGCTACATCCGTGGTCAAATGTCTCTACTCGTCGTATAGTTAGTATATGGTTTATTGAACAGAGGCTCAGTACGTACTTGTCGAAGCATTTAATCTATCAATTACAATTCACGGCCAGTGGCGACAACTGGAATCGCAGTGCCGTTCTCGTCGAACAGCGCGTAGTCCCAGTCGAGATGTGACTCTAGCAACTCTTCTAGGCGTTTTCAGGCAGATGTCTGCTGTCGCAGTTTGTTGCCAGAAGGCATGTTATTAGATATGCCAATCAGGCAGTTGTCAGCTTGACCATCCTTGTAGAACCAGAATCTAGACTGGGAGGAGTAAAAATCAGCTTGATTGGCACAAAGTGGTGCATATTCATTTTTCACCAGGCACAACAAACAATTCATTTGGGGTAGGAAGTGAATACATGAAGGCTCAATTAATAACTGGGTAGAGACAGATGCTGGGATATTTGGCTGTGAGCTGTGCATGTATGTCAAAGTATGGAGTGATATATGAAATATCAGTGCCATCTGTGGGACCTACACCACCGGTAAGTACTCCAACAATCTTACCAGTCCTGTCAAGAACAATTGGTCCTGAGTCTCCAGACTCGGAGAACCTGGGATAATCCTTGCTGTATCTCAAGACAGCAATTTCAGTGGATGTCTCATCGATACCATAAGGAGGATAGTGGCGAATGAAAGACTCAAGACCATTGACACGACCAAATGTGGTTCCTGTAGTTGCTCCATTCTTGACAACAAGAAGACACTTCTGGTTATAAATGTCAAGGTGCTGAGGATTGCGTAGCTCATCCTCCTGGACAACACCATACGCTTGAAGGAGGCCATTGGCAGGGTATTTATAATCTGCTGAATCAGCAGCCTGGGGCCACATAATCTCGCCGTATTGGGGGCCCGTGATCCTTGCAGCTATAAAACAAAAAGATTGAGAATAGATCAATAAAAAAATGTGAAAGGGACGTACCAACGTAGACCCGGTTGCCTCTGAATGCATTCCAATCAATCATATCATTATAGAGCTCAATGAGAGCCCAATCCTTGGTGAACCTGCGGGGCCCTGATGAAACCTCGATCGGCTCGCAGTGGAGAACAAAGCCAATGGCACGCTTGCTAGGGTCAACACGGTCCTGGACCACGTTCAACAGCTCTTTCACCTGCTCAATCCTCTCCTTTGCGCCATCCACTAGCAACAGGTGCTCCGTGCGCCTCTTGGTGATTCTTGCATCCTCGTTCAGCATAGGATCCCCAAGCATAACGAGCACATCATCCCGTATCTTGATCGAGCGTATCTGGCGGTCAACATCTGCCTGCAGGGCCTTAAGTGCGCTGTCATAGGCTCCGGGCCCAGGCGAGATGATCTCCTCGCGAGACTGGCTCGGGTTGGTGATAATCTTGTCAGTATTGGGATACTCGAGAGGAGGACAAGCGACATGCGCACATGTTAAGAGGGCGACACGCTTGTCGTCTCCACCAAACTGGTAATAAAGCGAACCGGTGCCTGCGTAATGGGGGAATTTAAAAGGTGATATAGAAAGGCCGAGTGTGCTGCTGAAAAGATGTCGCAACTCGCGGACATCATCAAGGAGGGGATCGAAGGAAAGCAGTTGAGGACCACGAGCGGCCTGAGAGACGGAGTATGTTTTGTCCCCCTCCACAACAGCCGCCTCGGCCTCAGCAAAGCCAGCACAGATAAGCATATTCTGAGCAGTGGTGGCAACATCAACGGCATGGCTGAAGGAGACGGTCAAAGGCTTCACACCGATGACAACAACAAAAGAGCAGAAAGGCTCAGCCTCCCCGGCATTGGCATAGGCAAGTGGATTAATGAAAGTCCACTCAATCTCAAGGCTGTCAATGTAGTTCCAGATAGCTTGCCCGACAGAGAGCCAACTCTCCACTTTCTTCGCATTGTAAACGGGACGGGCCTCACGAATGAAAGGCTGAGCTTCAGGGCCCGTGGGCACATCCTAGACAGTCCCCTTCTTGTAAATGCATGGCATTGAGGTACCAAAAAAGTCGGTGTATGCGGGTGGATAATTGTCCGTGAGGCGGCGGAGTCCCAAGGGGTCGCCATTGCTGATATCAGCCATCAAGCGCAAGGAGAGAGCTCTCGCAGTTGGAGATATGAGTGTTGGCGGTAGATATGATGGTATTGGTGGCAGAGAAGGCCGTATCAGTGGGGGGGTGATAGTGAAACCGGGTTCCGAAGGTAAGGAGCGTTTTCGGATGCATCCGCGGCGATTCGAATCTCCTCGCACAACGCCGGTAACGTGAAGCTCGAGTCAGGAGGCTGACAATTGTCGGTCCTGCTCCACTTGCTACACCTTCAGTCCGAGCAGCGCGCAGAGGAGACATTGTCACGCGCTAAACCTACATAGCTTCTGTCGTAGACATAGCACACTGTTGCTCCCATAGTCTTCGACATTGCAAAGTTTGGGCATTGCTGACTGGTGGCTGAGCCTTGTGGCTGTGGCACTGACTTCACAAAAATTGTACTGTGAAGTCAGTAGGCCAACACTTTAGGTAGATATTAGCACACAGTATCAATCTTAATGATGTATCAATCCCTCTAAAATATATTAACAGCTGATATTTGCTTGCAGAGTTTCGTCAATGGCGTGACATGTGGCATAGCAGCCACTGCTGCTGAGCTGAGACGCACTGTTGCCTAGATAGGAAAGAAGACGCCCGACACGAGTGGGTGCAAGACAGCCATCCGCGAATATGCTTTACAAGGCGGTACAACGCTTGCGATCATTAATACATTACGGCCGGACCTAAGTAATTATGATTACTCTGCAGGTACCTCGCGGTATGGAGCATAAGCTTGGAATTAGACTTATTTTGAGTTTTGTTTAAGTGGCGCGCGTTGGTTACATCATTGGTACTTTGATTGGGATTCTTTCTCGAGTCGGCGACTCCTCACTGATTTCGCTTGAATACCTCATTCCGAGGGAATTATATATCTGATGTTCTCCTCCTTCTTACGTTCTATCGTGAGTCAAACTTGTACTTTTCTGCTACTATTGTCTAAGGCCTCGCTCAAACATCCTTAACATGAACTTCTGCAGCCCCAAATCTCCATATTGTGAGCGCATGTCCTCGGTCTGGACTAGGATCTTACTCACCAGTATTCCAGCCACAATCCTTCCTCGCCGCCTTCAAATGCTGCCCTTCAATTACTCCGCACCGCGGTATCCTCCCCGTATCCTCCCACCAAAGCAACAAACCCCCCATTGAAGTTCAATCTGGAGGTGGTCGAAAACGCCCCTCCCACTTCCGACCAGCTCCGGACTATCATGTCGTACCTACCCGCTGACCCCTTATCAACAGACGCACCCACACCAGCTAGTCTACTCTCTGCACACCCGACCGTGCACACCCGACCAACCAGCGCCGAGGGCGTGTTGCGCCTTGCCACCCAAAATATCAACGCGCTCAAGTGGCCGATCGTTGTTGACTGGGATGGTGGGAGAGCAGCGGTGGGCGATGTCGAGGGTGTAAAGCGCATTTTGGAGGAGCTCAGGAAAAAGCGGGACGGCGAGGTCGGCTCGGAGGTCGAGTCGAAACCAGGCGGGTGGTTTTCATAGGAACAGGATGGATGAAAGATCCCCTGAGTGATACGGAACCATTCGTGTATTGTACTAACATTCATGCCAATACCTAATCCCAGCAACTTGATTCTTATGACATCCTTGCGTCCTTTACTACGAGCCTCATTGGGCGTCCGTCTTGACGCATCTCAGGCCTAGGGGAGTCGATGGTTCTGACGACCGTAGACTCGATTCCACTGGTAACCTCCTCGCAAGTCTTCACTCTCATAGCGAATTGGGTACATCAGTCCCATGCCTAGCATACAATGACAGTCTTCAGACTCAAGCTCGACATAAAAAGCTGCAGTAGTTGTTGGAGTTCGTCGGTTGGAACTGGGACGCGGGCCGATTAGATGTGGGGATAATCGCATGAGGGCTGCGACCCCTCTACTAGGGAAGTTCAAAGTTGACGCAGCTGGGCTCGCAGAAAGTTCTGC